TAATCTAATAAAAAGCTTTCATTATTTTCTAAAAATTAAATTCCTTTTCTAGCAATAGTTTTTATATCTTTCTTAGATTTTATTCTTTTCAATTATAAAAAATATTTATTAATATAAATATTAAATACTTATTTTAATTTCTTCTTTTAAATTCTACCCTTATAAACTAGACATAAGACTAATCTAATTACTTTATAAATCTTAATTTATCTGGTATATAATGCAATTCTGGACATTCAATAAATGTATGTTAATAATCTCCACAACTTAAACATTATTATTAAATAAGTTTTTTATCACAATTAAATAACAACTAATCTCTAATCATACAAAAAGTTTCATAATCTTCTTCAGAGTCTTTAATTAAATTAATAAAATCTTATCTTTTTATTACCAAAATTTAACAAAAATCTATACTTTTAACTGACAATTTTCTTCCTTAACCCGTAAAAAAGGACTATGTACCAAAATAATTTCCTTTTTCTAAAATTTTAAAGCTTTAACTTTCACATTCTCCATTAGGCTTTTTATTCTACCTATAGATTTCGACTTTTCCTTTTTAAATAAAATAAATAGAACAATCATCTAAAGATTCTTATTTTTAAATTATGTATTCAGGAGGGTATCTTTATTCTTTGATAATCCCACAAATTTTTTCATTAGCCCATTTAGTAAAGTTTTTCTTAAAAACTGGGGTTTCTTCCAATACAATTTTATTAGCCTCTAAAATAAGTTCCTATTTGATACTATCTGATAATTAATTGATTATTTTTTCTTCAATTTCAGTTAAATCTTGATGCTATTCTTCCCAAAAATAATCTAAATATTCTCTTATTTTTAGCCTTAAATCAGAACTAATATTCTTCTTTTTCATATAATTATTTATTGCATATAGATTATCTTTTATTTCTTTCGAGTAACGAAATATATCTTAAAATATGCTTCCTATTTAATTAACTGCATATGCGAAAATACAACAAGCTACCAAAGCTGTAATTATACACAAAATCATCTCATCATAATTTTAAGGTGTAATATCCCCATAACCAACCGTAATCATTGTAATAATAGCAAAATAATACCCATTAACATACTAGATACTCCAACTTACATCTTGAATATTTCTATAATAAAGCCAATTTTTTTACTTATTATTACTATAAACACCCTAAGCTATCCAAATACAGGCAATAATATGGGCTATAAAAATAATAAAAAAGAGCAATTTAAAAATAGATATAATGCTTGTTTTAAGCGGAGTTAAATGAAAAGACTCTTCGATTCTTCTAAAACTTCTTGAAAAATTATTTAATTTTATAAAAAATAAAATTTTAAGCAAGCCTATAAAAAATGTAAATTCTTATTAGTAATAAAACTCATAAATAAAAGGCGTAAAAGCTATTAAATCTCCACTGAGTGAATTTTTTAAATAATTGACAAAAATTTTCTATCTATCTGACACAATAAACCCTTTAGAAAAATATCCAGTATTTAAACTCACTGTCATATCCATTAAAATAAAAATAAATGAAATATAAATATAAATACTATCGATTAATTGATATATACTTTATTTTACTGCTATATGTACAGGAATTACAAAAAATAATAAAAGCATAGATAATCCAACTAAAAAATCCCAAAAAAGCTTATATTTATTATTAGGTCTTATTATAGGAATTTTATTATGCACTTTTTTTATTTATCTTATTAGATTTTTTATATATTTATCTATAAAATTATTCATTATTTATATTATTAAATGTTTTTAAATTGTTTTATTTTTTCCCTTTTTAATGATATTACAGATTTATCGTTTAGTATTTTTATTTGGGTTTATTTTAGATTTGCGTAATTATAATATTATTTTATATTTTAAAATAATTTTAAGATAAATAATTTTGTTTTGAGAGAAAAAGATTTAACCTTTTGGGTAAATTGTTAACGTTTTTCTTCAAATAAATCGTATTTTCGATTTAAGTTTAATTTTGAGGTTTTTAAAGTAGAACTTTATAAAATAGTTTTTTAATTTATATATTGTTCGGGTAAAATTCTCATATATTTTTTTTTTTTTTTCTTATCTTTTCTTTTATTTATATTAGTAAATATATTTAATATACATATGTAATCATTTTTTTTATTATTTAATATTTTTTAATATAAATTTTTATTTAAGATATATATAGTTTTAAATAAATATAATTAAAATATATTTATATATAATAAAATAATATAGAAAATTAATAAGCTTAATTAAATTTCTAAGATATTTATATATAGATATCCTAAAAGTATAAAATATATCCAAAAATCTAAATAAAGATTATAAAGTACAGAATTATTATCTTCCTAATAAAAATAGACAGAAGACAGAAGACAGAAAAATTTATGATAAACACTTTTTAGATAAATATTTCTTTTTATAATATGTATGTTAAATCGATTTATTAAGTCTAATAATTAAAAAAATATCATTTAGGATGTAATAAATTAGCTGAAGAAAATTTTAGTGAAAAAGAAAAAAAGAAAAAAAGAAAAAAAGTTATTATTTTTTATATGAAAGTATTAATAGAAACTATATAGATATTTATAATGAGGTATTTAGAAAAAAAGTGTTTAAAAGAATTAAAATTAAAAATTTGGAATATGTTATATTTATATATGTATTCTTTTTATATGTATTTTTAAAATAAATATATTGCTTTTTATATAAATTTAATATAATTGATATTTTTTAATTTATTTCGAATTAAATAAATAATATTAATTAAAGAATTTTGTTTGATTTTTTATATATTTATTAAACTTAAAAATTTAAATATGAAGCTATTTCTATTTTAATTATTTTATTAATTTATATTTTATATATTATTATCTAATATTTTTATTAATTTATAATTTTGTTAAAATTACTAATCTATATTGTTAAATTATAGAAAAAATACAAAAGCATAAATAAAATAAATGCCTCTCAACCACATAATTAAAATATAAAAATAAAAAAATTAGCAAATAAAGTCATAAATCTAATATAAAGTATTTTCTTAATTACTGTATATATTTTTTTACACCCTTAATTAAATACTCAAAATTTTAATAATTTCAACTATATTTAAGTGTTTATATTAAATAAAAATATAATAAAATAATTAAATTATTAAGAATAAAAATATTTAAAATTTAAAACAAAATAAAAAATAAAATAAAAAATAAATCAATCTTCCATTTTATAATTAGAATTATATCCAAATCTTGGCGAATAATTTTAATCGTCTTCATTTAAAGTAAGATTTTATTATATTTATAAATTACTAAAGTTGTTATTACTATGTTCTTCATGAAATGATAAAGAACATTTATCATTATTTTATTTATAAAAATTATCATTTTTTTATTTACAAATACTTTAATTACTTCCATTATTACTAATATTCACTTAATTAAACCTAGAATTCAATTAATTACCTTTATTATTATTAATATTAGTTGATTCTCCATTAGAAAATACATATTAAATTAATTATTATTAAATTTAGAATTTCTTAATAATTCCATAAAACTATTCAATACTTATATTCTATTTTTTTTTTCTATTTCTAATAAAACAGGTTTTATAATAAGTAGAACTTAGCTATTTAATTTAGAAAGATCAATATATTCAACATTAATATATCCTTTTTAATTATTATCAAGTGCCTTAAAAATAACATCTATAATTTTTTAAACTTTCTAAAATTCAGTTTTATTCTTTACGTTAAAAATATGAGAATTATTTGACGATTCACTATTTTCTTTTCCTTTTTTAGATTTTAATTTAAAATAGCTAATATTATTATTTTAATTAATTTTATTATTATTTTATTAATTATTTATAATTTTATTTTTAGTTGATTTATTTATTTTTATTCCTTATTAATATAATCTTTCATGTATTGAGATATCTTGTTATCTTTTTTAATTAGCAATTATTTTAGAATATTCACTTATTTAAGGTTTAAAAGAATTCTAACTATTATTATATTTATTAATATTATTATTATTATTATTATTATTATTATTATTATTATTATTATTATTATTATTATTATAATTCTAAACATATTTTTTCTTTTAAACAAATGAACTACTGCTTTAATTATTTTTATTTTTTATTAAAGATTTATTATTATTATTATTCTTACATCCTGAATTATTATTATTTTTGGAAATACTTCTATTTTTTTAGAATACTAAAATCTATTTCGAATTAATTAAATTAAGAAAATTATTTTTTAAAAATTCATTGTTTTTTTGAGAACTTTCCGCCTTTTTTTTTTAAAAAAAATCCCTCATATATTATTTGTACAAATTTTTATCTTATTTTTCTTATTAAATATATAAATTATGATATTTTTTTTCTTAGAAAGGACTCTGTGAAGATTCATTTATATTCCATTTTTTTTTTATTTTATTTTATTCATTTAACTACTAAATATCACTTTTTTATCGATTTCTTGTATTTTCATTTTCAGGAGTTTAACTATTATGAATATTTTAATTATCTTTAGTACTTGAAAATTCAAGTTTTTAATTTAATTTAGTATTCTAATTTTCATATATATTTTATATAAAAGATATATTTTTTTCATTTTATAGAGTCAATTATATGTCTATTTAATTCGAAGTTTAGTTTGATTTATTTTGGAAATATTTCTATGAATTTTGAGTTAATAAATATTTTATTATTTCTATATTTTCTGTTGTATCATTATGTATATCTTCATTATTTAGTTCTTTTTTATATTAACAAAATATTTATTATTACATTTTATTTATATGTTTTTTTTTTGTTAATATTATATATATATATATATATATATATATATATATAAATATATATTTGTTAAAATTTATTTATATTTATGAATTTAAATATTAATAATTTAGTTATATATTTATATATAAAAAAAAAAAGAATAAAATATAATTTTTTTTTAAAAAAAAAAGAAAAGAAAATATATTCACATAACATCTAATGTCTATTTTTTAAGCTTTTTAGGCCTATATTTTTAATTTAACTAATAAATCAATTCTTTCGATTTCGTTCTAGGAATAAAAAATGAAACAGTTCTAATTTTCTTCTACTAACTATATAAATTATATAGATTACTACTTTCTGACAAAATCGCATTCCTCAATTCATCTTCTTCCTCATAATTTTCCACAAAAACGCTTTCATTCCCAAAATTATCTTCGAAATCATCATTATTATTAATACCACTATAAATATATTTCTTTTATTAAATACTTTTCTTAACTTTCGCATATCCCCTTTCTAAACTTTATTCATAAAGCATATAAGCCCTAATATAATTAGTCAATTCAAAACTTTTTCTAGCACCTCCAATAATAAAATGTTCTAAATCCTAATCACTTCTCGGAACATCTAATAAATTTGCATAATCTTACCATTTAGGTACTGGATATATAGCAATACTTCCATGATAACTCTAAAATATATGTAATAATAAATTAAAATAAAAAAATATATAAATATATATAATAAATTATATATATATTATATTATATGTATATATATATATATATATCTATTTATAAATATATTTAAATATATATAATTATATAAATATTTATATATCCAATTTATATTAATATATATATTTTTACTTAAGTAACTATATTTAATAATTTACCCAAACTACATGGTAATAAATGTAAATCAATTAACTATCTACATCTATGTTTTACTTCTGATGATATAAAACTTTATAAATTAACTAAATTTCTTATAATAAAATTTTTTTTTTCTCCCTTTTTAATAAAAGGTACAACAAAAGGATTAGTTTAACTTACAATAAACGTATTTACATTAAAAAATTCCGCTAGTCTATTCATTGGTAAATCCATTGCAATACTTCCATCTAAGAACTTATTTCCTTAATATAGATATTTTTCTATTTACCCTTTTTCATTCTTACATAAAAGATCACTTGGTCCATAAATATACGGAATTCCACAAGAACAACAAACTGCACTTGCTATAAGTACATTCGGCGCACTTAAAAAATTTAAAATTCTATCTTAATTATTTGCCCCTTATGATGTTACTGTAATATTTAAAATAAATCCAGTTTTATCATAAGCTTCCTAAAAAGTCAAATCTCCTAAATTATCATGTACAAAGCTATAAAGTACATTAACATCTAATAAAACTCCTTGTTCGAAAAACCTCTTTAATTTTCTAGCTAATTACCCTCGAGGGTCTTTTATATAGAAAGCGTCCCAAATTATTCCCTAACCGTTTCCATTGTATAAATTAGGAATTTAATCGTATCTTTTACAACATATAAATGAAGCTATTATACTACCAGCTGAACTACCGCTTATTATTGTTGGAAATAAACCTTATTCGTATAATGTTTTTACCACTCCAATATGATACATAGCCATTTTACCACCACCGCTTAATAAAAGGGCTGTTCTGCCTAATGCATGACGTGTTTCTATAAAAAATTCCAGTTTTCTTCGAGTTGATAATTTTGTATTTTCAGCTATAAATTAAATACATTAGTCTAATATTTATTAATATTCCTCTATTAAATTTTTGGTTCCTATATAACTAGTTTAATATAGAGTAGGGTTTAATATATTTCCTATTTATATGATATTTGTATATATATATAAAAAAAACCTATGTTTCTATACGGATGAGAACGCAAATTATGTATAATTTTAGCACTATCTTTATTTTTTAATGCCAATTTTAATTCGTCCCTTAAATGTTAAATATACTCATAATTATAATAAGGGGAAGTAGGATCTTTTTTCCATAAAATAGTTCCTTATAAATTATCTAGTTATTTAGAATAATTAAACCATTCTTCGTATGTAATGGCTTTATTCATTTTTTTTATTAGTTTTAATCGCTGGTTTTTTTCATATTTTTATTATTAAAGATTTTAGATTTCATACACTAATATTTATTTAATTATTTATATATCTTCAATTATTTCTATTGATAAAATTTCTATAGCTGATTTGATAAAACTGAATATAACCATATTTTTTTTAATTTAAAAATTTATTATATATATATATAAAAAAACTATTGTATTTATATATATTAATATTTTATTAAAAAATTTAAAATTATATTATTTTAAAAAATGAATTTTGATTATATTTGTTTCATATAAAATGTGTGTGTATATAAACATATATATATATATATATATATATATATTATATATGTATATAACTATATATAATTTTTTATATAAATTATATATTTAATACTTTAAATACAAATATTAGTTATATTTATTTATTTTAAATAATACTTATTTCATATTTAAAAAAAATATAGATACAATAATATTTTATATAATTGATAATATAATAAAAATCATTAATATATTCTAGAATTAAAATAAATATATAATTAATATATAACAAAAAAATATAAAAATTTACAAAATATTATATAATAATTAATTATTTATATTATTATTTTTTTAATATATAATAATTTATACTATATTATAATTAGATATTATTTCAATTTAAATATAATTTATACAATTAAGAAAAAATTTATAATATTTAAATGATTAATAATTTAATTTTAAATATAAATATTTTATTAAATATATTAAAACATTTAAATATAAACATAAGTTTTAGTTTATATTTTAATTATTTAAAATATAAATGACAATCTATAAAAATTTTATAAAAAAAAATTAATTATATTTTTATAGTTGATATAAAATTAAAATATTAAAATCCAAAAAAAAAAAATATATAAAAAGATATATATATATATATATATATATATATATAATTATATTTATATTTTTATATTTATAATTATTATATTTTTTTTATTATTATACAATTTTTTTATTATACCTTTTTATTTCTTTGATTTTTTTAATATTATTAATTTTTTTGTATATTACAAATTTATTTTAAATATTAATTTTTATAATATTTATATTTATTTTTTATTTTTAATTAAAAAATAAATTATTCTATATTTTAAATCAAAGTATAAATATTAAATAATAAATGTTTTTTCAATATTTTTTAAAAATAACATTATTAAAAAATTAATATAAATATATAATATAATATTTATAAACAAAATTTAAATCATAATTTTTTATTTAATAAACATGAACTTAATTTATAAAAACATATATTTATTTTACTGTGGTATCACAGATTCTATCCAAATATAGCCAACAAAAAGATACACATACCAAAGCGGCAAAAATTCAATAAACATATGTAAAACCCTAGCCTAATGTTTAATCCATTTAATTTTATATTTCAACCTATAAATAATAATAGGAAACTACATATCATAATCTTCTTTTACCTAAATAATAAAAAACCACAATATTATTACACATATAATCTTCGAAATTTCATATTATATATGGTTAGGTTTTTTGTATTTAATGACTACTACTTATACATTTTTTTGGTTTGGAGATATAGCAAATTTAACTTACGAAATAGAAAAAAATGATTCGAATTAAAAAAACTATCTAGAAATTCGTAATCACTCTTTTGAAAATATGCTTGCTAATTAATTAAAGAAAATTGTTTTTATGATAGTTTATATGTTCGTTTCTGTAATAATATGCTCTTTTCTATCATATATACCCTATATAGGAAATTTAATTATAATTCTAATTTATAGCTTTTATTATTCTTTATTTCTATTTATGCTAAAATGGAATTATAATATGTATATTTTATCTTATTTTGAATAAAATGTGGCTTATTTTATTGGCTTTGGACTAATTTATAGCTGGGTTACGAGTTTTTTCAAAGGAGCTTTAAGTGATGGTGTTTATTGGCTGCTTTTTCCTATTTATATTTTTAATTCTATGTGTACTTAACCCCCTTATGTGGAAGATGATTAGATTTAAAATTTTCAAGATTTAAAAAAAATTATTAATGATAATAAAAGGGTTAATACTTCATTCAATGAGTACTTTAAAAAAATAAAAAATGAACCAGATTTTAAATAAAAATGTCTTAAAAGTGGAAAAATTTTTTATTTTGTGAGAATTTTAACGGATTGGGTTGGAATTTTTATTTAAAAAAATTTAATTAAATATTGAATATTTTTAATGTTATTTTTATATATGTATTTCATATTTTTTTATTTGTATATTTTATTTATACATAATTGCCATTTTTTTTACTAATAAACAAAAAATACATTTGTTTTTGGAATAAAAATTAATATTTTTTTAATTAAAATCATTAATTAAATATAAATTCGAAAAAAATAAAAAAAAAAAAAAATTATTTTAAGATATAATATAAAAATATAAAATCTATTTGTATAAAAATAAAATTAAATTAAATCTTCAAAAATTAAATAAGAAATATAAATATCTATTTTAATAATAAAAATATGACTGAAAAAGCTTAATTAGAAAAAGAATGCCTAGATACTATAAATAAACTTATATAAGAATTAAAATTAGGATATTCTTTTGTTTCCTGGAGTGAAATAACAGAAGAAATATTATAATAAAGATAATTCTGTCCTTAAATATGCAGAATGTTGCCTTAAAAGTAATATATTAATACTAAATTGCCTATACTTGTAAATGAAACTGAAGAATAAAAATAAAAAAGATTATAATAAGAAGAGAAATTAATAAAAAAAGCTTAAAAAGCTGAAGAAGATTACCAAAATTAAATGAAAGCATTTAATGAAGAAAGTGAAAGAATGATGAAATAATAGGAAGAATAAGATAATAAATATGAATAATTATTAAAATATTATAAAGAAAAATCAGATCTTATAAAAAGTTTATGAATATTTAAAAATAAAAAAAAAAAAAAATTTAGTATTATTAAATATATTTTTATATTAAAAAAAAAATATTTTTAAATATTATATTTAAAAAAAAATATAAATAATTATATTAAAACATATATAATTAAATATATATATTTATATAAATTATATATATATATATATATATATATAAATATATTTATATATATTTTTTTATTTTAATATTATTTTATTTTATCTATATCTATAATTTTTTATTTTTTTCCTTATAATTGATATTTTTTTTTTAATTTTATAATATTTTATATGTATATAATTATCATATTAATAACTTTTATTTATTTATACTCTTTAATATATTTATAATTTTTTTTTTTTTTAATTTTATATATTTAATAAATAAGTTAATATGAGATAAGATAAAAAAATCATCTTATAAAATAATAATAAAATTTATTTAAATAAAATTTAAAACAACATATATATAATTGTATTCATGTAAAAAAAAAAAATTAAAGATTATTTCAAAAAAAAAAATTAATAAAAAAAACATTTTTCATTTTTTCTTTACAATTTTTTCTTTTTCATTTTTTTAATCTTCCATTTTCTATAATTCTTATTTTTCCTTAGCTGCTTTATCTCTTTTCGCCCTAATTTCCGCCAGTCTTGCTAAATCTGATTTTTATTGATTATTTTAAGGTCCTTTATCATCCCCTCCGTATTTTTTTTAATTTTTTTATCCACCTCCACCACTTTTTACATTACTTTATTTTTTTTATGGTTTTTCCTCTTCACTTTCAGATTATTCACTATCATTTTTTTATTATTATTAAATAGCTTTACCTTATGGTTTAGTTTATGGTTTTTCCTATTTTTTTACAGGTTTTTAAACTTCGTTTTCCTCATCACTTGAAGAAACTGGCATTTCGTATGTTTTTGCACCTTATTATCTTATTCTATTAAAATAAAGTTCATCTTTATTAGAATCTTCCTAATCTTCTTTTTTTTCTTCTGTTTAACCTTAAGTAGTTGTCTTTTTTGGCTTTTCATCATTTTCTGAATCAGAATTATCATTATTTTTAACTTTTTACTATGTTGCCATAATGTCTTTTTCTTAAACATCGTCAAAAACTTTTTCTTTTCCCCTTTAATTCATTTTTCTGTTTTTACCAAATTCGTCTCTTCCCATTTTTTTTTATTATTTTTTATTTGTTGTTTTTATATAAAGAAAATTTAATAATTTTATAAAAAAAAATATATATATAATTTTTTTGTATTTTTTTTTTTTTTTCTAAAAGAAAAAAAAAAAAAAAAAAAAGAAACTAAAATTATTAAAACTATATAAAAAAGAAAAGGAAAAAAATAAGGTATAAAAAAAAAACAATATATCTTAGAAAAACTAAAAAAAAAATATATATAAAATAAATATATAAAAATATATAATAACAATACATAAAATAATAAAAAATAATATACATAAAAAAAATAAAAAAAAAATGGCTAAATTGTAATTTAAATAAATTTGCATATAATAAAATATAAATCAAAACAAAAAAAAAGTCTTAAATATGGTAGAGTAGTAATTATTTTATAAGGAAGACTTGCAGGAAAAAAAGCAGTAGTAGTGAAATCATTAGAAGAAGGAAACAAAGTAATAAAAAATATATAAATATATATAAATAAAAATACATTTTAGGATAGAAAATTCGGTTTTGCTTTAGTTGCTGGAGTTGAAAGGCACCCCAAGAAAGTAACTAAGAGAATGGGTTAAAAAAAAATCGAAAAAAGAACTGTTATTAAACCTTTTGTAAGATATGTAAACTTAAACCATATATTACCTACAAGGTATTTAATAAACTATATATAATATATCATTATTATCAATATTTTTAATTATATTATTAATTTATTTTTATATATATAAAATATATAAATTAAGATATTCAGTTAAAGATCTTTGTGATTTCAAAGAAATTGTTAAAGAAGATAAATTAAAAAGTGGTGGAAGAAAAGAAGTTAGATAAGCCTTGAAAGAATAATTCTAAAAAAAATACAGAGATTATAATCCTTCTGAAAAGAATGCATCTCATGTCAAATTTTTCTTTTCTAAATTAAGATTTTGAACAATTTTTTTTTTTTTTTTCAATTAATAAAAAAAAAAAAAAAAAATAACATTTAAAATATAATTTATTTTTAATGTTTTTTATTTTTTATTATTAATTTAAATATCCTATTTAAACGAAAAACAGCAAAAAAAATATAAGATTAATTTTTTTTTTTTTCATATTTCAAAAAATATATTATATTTATATATTATAATTAGATATATTATAATTTAATATATATATATATTTATATATTTTATTTTTATTTATTATTATAAATATTATTTATATTATAATCTTTATCTTTTTGATTAATATTATTTTTTTATTACTTTATATATAATAAAAATATTAAAAAAAAAAAATGTTTTTTTTTATCATATTTTATAATAATAGTATATAATATGTTTATATTATATATATATATATCTATATTATTTATAATTTTTATTTATTTCATTAAACCATATTTTAATTTTAATTATAATCTATTCTTTTTAATTATTCATTATTTTAATACTCTTAAAATTTTTAAAAATCAATTTACTGTCCTTAAATATAATAAACTTCTTCAATTATATTTTTATCTAAATTATTTATGTTTCCAATCCCATTTCTTTAATCGTTTATATAATATCCTTCATATATTTTATTATCCCCTTTATAATAGAATTTTCCAAATCCATTTTTTTGACCATTTTTAAATTCACCTATATATATAAATACATATTTTTATTTATAAACTTAACTATTTTATAACAAAAATACCTTCATATTTAGTATTATTTGTATAAAATTCAATTCCTTTTCCTTCCTTTTTATCATTAAACCATTCCCCTTAATAAATAGTTCCATTATTAAAATTCATAATTCCTTTTCCTTCTTTAACTCCTCTAAAAAAAAAAATCAAACTAAAAAAGAAAACAAAAATATTACCTATTCCATTCTCCTATATAAACATTTCCATCTGAATAATATCTTATTCCAAGTAAAGATCTTTACTCATTTAAAAAAAATCCTTAATATTTGGAATTATCTGCATAGTTTTCTTACTTAAAAACGATTTAATCTTTCTAATTAAACTTGTCAGTTTATAAATTAAGAAAATTAAGTAATTCTTAATGAATATTAAGCCAATGCATTTTCAGTTATTCTGGTTATTATATTTAAATAGATTTTTAATCTTGAATATTAAAGCAAGTTTTGACTTTATTTAAATTTTAAAAGATTTAATTTTATATTTACAAAAAAGCATTTCCATCGAATTTCGCGTGCTAATTATTATTTCTATTTTTGTTGAAAAAAGCAAGAAGCTTTTATTGATTTTAATCTCTATTTTTACTTTATAAAAATTAGTTTATTTATTAATTAAAAACTTCATTATTAATTTCCCTTTAAAAAAGCTGTTTTATATTTTCTTATATACCATCTATATTGTAACTTTGTTTAAAAAACTTCTTTAGGCTTTCCAAAAATTAACTTAGCCCATTTTATTACTAATAAAAATTCGTAATATTAATCTAAACTTATTTCCTTATTTTTTAAATTCTCAAATTCAATTCTACCTAAAGATTATCGAAAAAAACATCACTCTAATCATATAATTTCTATATATAATCACTTTGTAAACCTAAATATTTCTTAATTTACCTACCCTATTCTTCAATAGGCCAATTCTAAATTTAAAACTCATCCAATTTATCAAATATTTCTTGTATTTTTATCATTTATTACTAATGGGTTCCATGTAATCCATTATAGCATTTATTACATGCCAATCGACTTTAAAAATCACAGGTAGAACATAAACATATGTACATTACTTGATTTTATTAATGTCCAGGTTAACTACATTTTATAGAATGGTCAAAAGTAGGAAATTAAATTAATGATGCGCTAAAAGGAGTTTTTTAAGTATTTTAATGAGTACTTTACAAGGAATTGTTTATAGTTTTTAAATTAGGTTTTATTGATTTTAGATTTACTTTCATTAATTTTCTAACTTATTATTTTTATTTTATTATTAAATATGTTTGTTTGATTTTAAAAATTATATAATAAAAAAACAACAAAAAATTAAAAAAATATATTAAAATAAATTTTATTTTTTATTAAGAAAATGATATATATAATCAATATATATATATTTATTATATTAAAAAATATAATATATATATATATATTTATATTATTTTATACTTTAAACTTAGTTAGTAATAAAAAGAGAAAATAAGCGAGGTAAATTATAAATATATATCATATTAAAAAATAAATAATGTGTTCAATTTTTATATATTTTATATTCGAATTAAAATTAATTTTTGGAAGAGTTTTTATTTTTATATATTTTAGGTTTATCAAAATATTATTTATTTGAATTTTATTTTTTTTAAATTAAATCAAAATCATCTATTTAATTTTATTAATTCATTAAACTAAAATATTTATCTTTATCTGTATCTATATCATTATCTTTATCTTTATCTTTATATTTATCTTTATCTTTATCTTTTTCTTTATCTTTATCATTATCTTTATCTTTATCATTATTTAAATCTTTATCTTTATCTTTATCTTTATCTTTATTTTTATCTTTATCATAATCTTTATCTTTATCATTATCATTATCTTTATCATTATCTTTTTCTTTTGTCATATCTTTATCTTTTTTTTTATTATTATCTTAATCTTTATCTTTGTCATTTCTTTTTCTTCTTATTTTATAACTTTTAGCTGCCGCGTTAGTGCTTAACGCATTATTGCCTAAAAAAGCTCCCGTAAGTTTTTCTTAATAATAAGGTTTTTATTCAAAAAACTAAGGGATAGAAGGTTTTGAAATAGATTCAAGTCTTCCTTCATTTTCAAATCTATCTTCTAATTGTTATTTAGAATTAATATAAATAAAATTTTATGAATTAAGTAAATTATTATTTTAAGATTAATTATCATTTAAATTATTATTAATATTATTATCATTATTATTAAGATATATATTATTATTAAAAATTTGAATATTATTTTTATTAGTATCATCCTTATCAGTATTTTACTCTCTAAATTATTTATTTTCAAAAATATTATGGTTTAAATTATATGTATATTTTTTGGATTATCTTCTACACGTTTCTTATTATTATTAAACTTCTTCGTGGTTACTTTGCTTTTATTCATTAAAATAATGGGGCCAACTATCAGGTTAGCTTAAAGTTTATCTATAAAATTCAGAAACACTTGTTTTAGAATAAAAAAGTACATAAGCATATTCAGTAACAATCTATTGAATATAATTATAAAATAAAAAATAAATGTTACTGTTTTTTCAATTTAATCAACTTAAGTAACTTCTGAATCATTAAAAAAATACCATTTTTAATCTTATCTATTTTTTGCATATGTAGTATAATGTCCAGAAGATAAACTACCCTCATGATTCTTTAAATAATAAAAGAAAAAAATAAAAAATATTTAAAAATAAATTTAAAAATATATATATATATATTATATTTATATATATTTATCATATTAATATTTTTCAATTTACACATATAGCAAATAAATCATAAATAGGTTTATCTCTTTAATTTCCAGATACTACATGTGAAAAATCAAAGTTTTACAATGGAAAGTCAATAAAAGTTTCTATTTTTTTTCTTTTATTTAAAGTATATTTAAACCTCTTTAAGTGAATAATAAATATGTTAGGAAGTTTCCATAAATCGATTTTTTAAGTAGATTATTGTCTTTATTTGCATTTAAAACAAAACCATAATTCTTCTTAATCCAAATTTTCTTCATTTGTGAATTCTTTAATACATTAATTTAAAGTAATAACATTTTTTGATTTTTTGATAGGAATCGGAACACTCAAAAATCTAAAAGTCTCAAATTTATGAGAAACAGATAAACAAATTTGACATTTTAAAGTCTATTTAGTTTAACCTTAAAATAAATCTACTATTATAGATTAATTTCTAGTCAAATAGTATTTCCAAAATTCCTTGGCATATTTTTCATATTAATTTCCATTAAAATCTTTTTCTTTAATTTTAACGTTTTTTTAAACTCTATTTAAGTCCTATTTATTATATTAATATTTTATATAATTATATAAAAATATGTATTTATATAGGTATATATTTATATATATATAAATATATATATATATATATATATATATATATATATATATAT